TGGAGTGGTGTGCGAGGTGAAGTCTTGAGTTCGGATAGAGGTGTGGCCCGAACTGCCCTGGGGTGGGCCAGCTCGGGTTGTTGCCCTTTACGCTCCTCGTAAGGCTCGGGGTCAAAGGAGAGTTTGGGCTCCTTTTGGCGAGCTCGGACCGCTGGTTCCTCCTCTCGAAGCTCGCGCCTTGAGCGTACTGCCGTGCCGAGCTGTTGCTTCTGCCACGTGTTGAGTGGTCAAGAGGTCGGGCCAAATCTTCCTTCATCATAAAGCATGTTGCATAAGATGGAATAATTGTTATTTATACCCTTGGCCTACCCTTTCACTTGTGGACTGAAGAGATTATTCATCAACTATCCAGAATCTGTGGAGGGTTGGCAGAAGAAATACACAGAAGTAGCTATCAATCAGTGAAGGTGAAGTTAACTGGTGTGAGAACAGAGAAGGTGTAGCACAATTATCAAAAAAAAAAAAAAAACAGAGAAGGTGTAGCTCATGATTGAGTTGCATGTGGAGGAGATGGTGATCAAGGTGTGGATGGTCTCTTATGCTGAAGCTGAGCTATGGAAAGAAGGGATTGGAGAAGAAGATGATAAGATGGAGAGGGACTAGCCACGTGAAGAACAATGATTGGACAGTCAAAAGAAGAGTGGATGTTTCAAGGAAAAGGAAAAACAAGAAAAGTGGGGTGAAAAAGGTGGGTGGCAGGAAGATGAAAGGTCATTTAATACTGAAGCTGATTGAGGTAGTTTCTTTTCAGTGCCTTTGGTAGTGTGATCAGTTGAATTGATCAAATCTCATCTATTGGGGATCATATTGGAGACAAAAATGGGATGGGTCATTCCTTTGGAGTTGTTTACATGGTCTGAATCAAGTATAGGTTTATAGGATTGTAGGTTGGCAGCATGGCCTTTTTTTTGTCGTTGTGCTATTGCTCTCTACCCCTGATTTTGGCTGGAAATTGGGATCAGTAAACCACTTGTATACTTTCCTTCTATATTAATAAATTTCCTCCATTATCAAATATAAATGTACATGATCAAAACAAATATAGCACCAGTCTTCTTTTTATAAATAACAAATGAAATTCTATTGAATATACAGTTAAAGCAAATTACATCAAGATTAAATGCCCTTGAGAAAAGTTGGCCTCAGCTAACCACCTCAAAAAATACAAGAACTGCCCCCTTTAAACCACTTAACCCCAGTACAATTGCTCCCATAATGTCCCTTTTTGGCCAAACCATCTGCCAGTTTGAGAGCTTCTCATGGTGTCCATCTTACACTCACCCTTATCTCTTCCCTTGGTTTGTGTATTTCTCTCAAGATTTTCTGTATTTCCATGGGACTTTGTAACCATTCATCCACCCTACCACAACTTGTGAATCACCTCCAACTTCCAACTTGTTCCATGGTTTTTCACTATAGGTGGTTCACGAACCAAAGTTTCATCATTTATTCGTATTTCTAGTACTTGGATGACCCCCCAAAAGATTTTGGCATCCTGTTCCTCTATCAATATCCACTCCTTCCAAGAACATTTTCAGAGCATTCAAACCAACCATGGTTTCATTGAATGTATTATAAGATTTTGCACCCAGGTAACAGACAGTATATGACATATTTAATAGCTTAATGAAACGACCTATAGACAGAATCTTGGAAACAGGAATGGAGGCATCAATGCCTCCTTGATGAATATTGGCTTTGGCATTTAGAGTCCAACGCTTCACAATGCAACTTTCTGGGATGAGGCGAAGGTGTTCCACCTTAAACACAGCAATCATATGAACACAAGGAAACCCTAATTCCTCAAACTTTAGACATGAGCACTTTGCTTCAATGCTCGAAGAATCAAATAACACCCTCCATCTGGATTCTGGAATATCCCATTTGCAAACAAAATGTATACGTTGGTGGTCATTTATGTGCTCTGTACTATCCACAACAAAGTTTGTTTCCTCATCTGCAATCATACAAAATTTCTCAAATGAAGCTTTCGTGTATACAGAACCCATTTGCTCCTTGTATAACTTCAATCGTTCACCTATAACAGGTTTTTTCATCTTTGACTGAAAGTCTACCTCTGCCTCGCGTTGTCGGTTGTTCATAACTGCAATTTCAAAATGTCGAAAGAATTCCGTTAAGTTGTTTCTACTAGTTAGATAACACTTCACATAGGCATTCTCACTTTCACATCGTTGGGTTGTCCTCACACCAGCAAAAAAATGACCATGAAGATAAGTTTCTGCCCACCGGTCTCTTTTCCTATAAAGGTCACTGAGCCATTGTTGGTCACCTAGATTGCGTGCATTAATCATTTTATTCCAAGCCTCCTCAAACTGCTCTGGGGTACCTTCCATATTCATACAGTTGTTAAAATCACCAATTATATTTGCACAATGGCTCACTACATTCTCACTGATATGAAAAGAACATAGGCGATGTTGGGCATCTGGAAAATGATTCTTGATGGCTTTTCGCAATGCTTTATCACAATCAGTAACAACAGAAATTGGTTTTCGTCCATTCATCGCCCTTAAGAATGTATTCAACATCCACATATAAGAGTCCTTGGTCTCATCTTCTAGTAAGGCAGCAGCAAATATAACAGTTTGATGATGGTTGTTTATACCAAAAAAGATTATAAGAGGTTTTCTATAGACATTACTCCGATATGTAGAATCAAAAATCAACACATCACCAAAGCAATGGTAATCAAAACAAGCCTTTGAATCTGTCCATAATAAGTTTTGAAGGCGACCATGTTCATCAATTGTGTGACTGTAAAAATAACCAGGGTCCTTTAAAGTTTTGGACTCGAAATATAGTAATGCACTGTCAACATCCACAGTGCTAATGGAATCTCTTCGATCAGCATCAATATGATTCTGTAAACCCCCTGTATCCCTCAGATCAGCTACTTGAGCCTCATCACCATTTGTTATCCTTCCATGCAACTGTAAGAACATAGAGCTAGGAGATGAGACAAGATCATGACTATGGTCTCTAACAAAACACTTAACCACATATTTTCCTGCTGTACGATCTAATTTCACCTGAAACGATGCAGTACAATTAAACCTAGTCAACCTCTTAGGTGCTCTTCTCCTATTCTCTCTGATACTTTGTTCACCTTGAGCTGAACAAACAAACTTTTGGGAAACATGACATCCCTTGTAAATTTCCTTGTCAGATTTCCTCACTTTGAAACCAATCTCCCGTGCATAGTCATAATAGAATTTGGTTGCATCATTAACTGAATCAAATTGCATTTTCCATATCTCCGCATCAGTTAATTCATAAAGTGGCTTCTGAAAATTAAATATAAATGATGGACTAATGGCTTTGAGCGTTTCATTAACCTGGATGCTTTGAGATAAAGAACCTTCACTAGCTCCCTCAAGGATTTCGGTGTTCAATTCATCATTGAGATTAACACGTACCCACTTGCCTCGATCCATACCTAACACGGTAAAATACAAGACATAAGATTCATACTCATCTACAAATATCATGCAATACAATAAGATTAATTCAATCAAAATATAACAAATGTAAACACTTGGGTAAGTACAAATAACCACATGAATATGCTACCTTGTTTGTTGTCAGCATTAACGTGAAGTCTATAACATCATACATATGAAACAATATGGGAATTTTACGTACAAATACTTGGGGCTTGTTCAAATCAAGTGTTAACTATCATAAGGAGTGTGGGTGTTAGTTTTAATACCACTTACAGATCAAACACTTGCATCTCTAACAATTAATATATAATTTCTTCACTAAAATTTGGCACCAAATTGCTATACCTACAAAGCAAGAGCATGCTTACAATTCCAATTTTGGATACAACAACCACATACACAAAAAAAAAGCTGTTATCTATGTTTTTGTTTTTCCACATAACCAATTTGTTTTCCAAAGCATATGTTTTGACTTCTTTCTTTCAGCATTTACAAGATGAATAACAATTCAAACAGCTTAACAGCCGATCATGACAATTTGTATATGGCATGATCATGGCAATGGATGGTCAATAAGAGATCATAGGTGCTACACTTGCCAAGGAGACAATTGCAGGTTGACTACCTAAAGTCACATAGTTGAACCAAATGAAAACCAATCTGCTCCAGCTTGTTGTAGGGTTAGTGAGGCATGATGATAAAATATTATAATTGAAGCAAAGAATATCTGGCATCAATCTACTAATCTTAAGATTTGTACATTCTCATCTTTTGTGTTCGGTAAAGTTCTGTACATTGTCAAGTACACAAAATTTTTTAACCAATGATATCATTCAAAGAAAAGATGCTACACGAGACGATGTATGATGGAGAAACAAATAATCTTTGTCCCAACTATATGGCATCCGCTACAAGAATATATTTTGCCACTCCGTTGTGTTTAGTGCCATATCCATCATCAAATTATGGACACATAAATCAATTCTTATTACTTCCATCCAAGTCCTTATCGGTCTAACTGTAGCTCTTGTAGCCCCTTCAACTTCTAATAGACCACTATTTCTAACAGGTGCTGTAGATGGCCTTCTATGCACATGAACCAAACCATCTCAATCTACTTTCCCTCATTTTATCACCTATTGGAACTACTCCTAGGTTTCTTCATATGGATTCATTGCTAACCCTTTCCTTTCTAATTTTACTATCTAAGCATTAATATTTATGTCACACTCATTTCTTGGACATGTTGTTTCTTATCCGCCCAACACTTTGCCACATACAACTGGCATTACAATTGTTTTATAGAATTTTCCTTCTAGCCAAAGTGGTATTTGCCTATCACATGAGACTCCGGATGCACCCTTCCATTTGCCCATCATACACTAATTCTATGGGCAACATCCTCCTCAATCTCTCCTTTGTTATGAATTATTGAACCAAGGTAACAAAAGAGGTTATATTAAGTTATCTCTTGGTCTCCGATCTGCACTCCGATTTACCCTCCTATATTATTAAATTTACATTGGAGGGTGGGCTTTGGCGCAACAGCTGGGTTTCTCCATTGCGACCTAGGTGACCAGGGTTCAAATCTTGGAAACAGCCTCTCTGTATGTGCAAGGGTAAGGTTGATACATCTTTCCCTCCCCAGACCCCGCATTGGCAAGAGCCTTGTACACTAGGTTGCTCTTTTATTATTAAATTTACATTGCATGTATTCTATTTTAGTCTTATTTTAAAGCCTCATATTTCTAATGCAATTGCCCACAAACCTAATTTTGTATCTAATCCTTCGCTAGTTTGATTAATTAAGACCACATCATCAAAAGAACCAATTATTTAGTTGATCAAGTTTTTTAAACTTCTTTGTTAATGCAACTTCACTATATTAAATAATAATATTTTTTTATCAGTAAGCATGAATTTTATTTAACTTTCATATTTGAAAAAATGTATACAACTTAGTGATGGGAGTGATGACCCCTTTTGGGCCCTCTTTTCTGTCCCTCTTTACAATGCAGCCCAAAATAGTTGTTGTCTCAAATCTCAATGCCCCTTGTTTTGCTAGATAATCAGCTAACCCGTTTGCACTCTTTCGAGCCCATTTGAATTCAAACTCAACTTCCTTTGCAATCTTTTCCACTTCCCTAATCACATGTTTAAACGTCCATGGGGTATGGGCCGTATGGCTGTTGTTTGTAGCCCAGGAAATGACTACTTTTGAGTCCCCCTTCCACTTCAATATTCTTGCATCTCATCTGTTTAGCTAGCTTCAAACCTTGTAGTAGTGCCAAGAGTTCAGCCTTCAACAAATTCCCTGCTCCAATCGGTCCTGAGAACATGGCCAATATCCTCCTTTTAGAATTTCTGAATACTCCGCCTATGCCTAATAGTCCCAAGTTTCAACTTTCAAGAGGACCAATTTTTGCACCATGAATTTAAATCATTCCCTCCTCTATCCCATGCCACCATTCATGCTGGCAGCGCTAGCTTTTAGTATTTATACTAGGGCGACATAAAATAAAAATAAAAGATATGGAAAATACAATAGTATCCCTACAGTACTGAACTTAAAGAATAACGAATTTTTAACACTCCCCCTCAAGTTGGGACATAGATGTCAATCATGACCAACTTGTCACATAAATCATGATGTCGCGAGTGATATAACCCTTTTGTGAAGATGTTTGCAAGTTGGTCTTCAAAACTAACATAGGGGGTACACACTTCCCCTGTAACAACCTTTTCTCTAATAAAATGTTTGTCAACTTTGATGTGTTTAGTTCTATCATGCAGCACTGGATTAGCAGCAATGTTTATGGCTGCTTTGTTATCACAGAATAGAGCCATAGGTCCATCAACTGAAAAACCCAACTCACTCAAATTTTCTAGCCACATAATTTCAGACACTCCATGAGACATTGCCCTATATTCAACTTCAACACTAGACCTAGCTACCACATTCTGCTTTTTGCTTCTCCAGGTAACTAGGTTCCCTCCCACAAAGGTACAGTAACCGCTGGTCGACTTCCTATCACTCAGGGGTCTTGCCCAATCTGCATTGGTATACACTTCAACTTTCAAATGCCCATGCTTTTGAAACAATAAACCTACACCTAGAAACTTCTTAAGATATCCGAGAACTCTTTCAGCTGCTTCAAGGTGGGTAGTCTTAGGGGCATGCATGATTTGGCTAAGAACACCCACTGCATAAGCAATGTCTAGTCGGGTCATAGAAAGATATAACAATCTTCCTACAAGTCTCTAGAACTGTTTCACACCCTCGATGGGTTCACCTTGACAGTCACCTAATTTGTAATTAGGATCAATACGAAAATCAATAGGCTTCACTCCCAGTTTTCCTGTATCCTGGAGTAGATCTAAGACATACTTTCTCTAGGAAATGAAGATACCCTTTTGTGAGCGGGCAACTTCAATCCAATGTTTTAAAACGCAGAGGTGAGACACGAGGCGTTCCATTACCTAGAGGCGTGAGGCGTAGTTCAGAACGCAAGAGGCGTAAGCCTCCCGAACACATACGGCTCCTTAAGAGGAGGGTGGTTAGAAGGAGGATGAAGAGGAAGGGGGGATCTCACTTTTTCTTTATTTTTAATAAAAATCTTTTATATTAAGAAGAATAAAGATGCATAACATTAGTTGAAAGGGGGGGATCTTGTCGAAGTGGAGGCGAGCGAGCGAAACGAGCTTGATC